CTATAATTAATCACTTTTAATAATTAAGTTAACCATCCATCCTCCTGAACTAACTATTCTATGGACTATTAATCTATTGTACCAATATCTTACAAAAACGATTTAATATCTATTCTACATTGCCCAACTAAGTCAAGTTTCATACTAGGTAGGACGCTCGTAACAAGACCTGGATTGGATGTCCCCGTAATTAGATCAAATTGGTCCTTCGCATCAGGCTCACCTAAATATTGAATTGATCCTTTCTCCTTTTGCTGACTTCTAGTAAGAATAGCTTGGACACATTCCATCTGATTTATCGAAGAATCTTGAGGACATTGATTTATCTCCTCCATTTTTCCTTGGTTTTGGATCTACTGATCTTGATTATTAAAATTGAACGGAGCATTACATTATTGATAAGTATGCCCCAACTGCTTACAATTCCAACACACTGGCGCATAATCGTCACTGGCTCTAGGATTGAGACATTCACTGACATAATGACTAATCTGTATGCAACAAAAACAACGAAGTGGACTTTTTGCACCCCCATCAAGCATAGTGGATGTCTCCACCGATATATACCTACTAGACTTGTTCTATGTAGGATTAGAAAATGATCTTGGTTGTCCCGTTGGTACGGAGGGTACTTGGTTTGACCACGTTTCTAACCTAAAAAATCAATTAAAGACACCTATAAAATTAAAGCAATGTCTATGAAGCTTCTAAAGAGCTTTTATAGAAGATATTATAGAATCGACCTACTTTTATCTACTATAATCTAAATCATATAAGTAATTATTGGTTTACATGTGTATGTCCGTGACAATACAATTGCTTGATTGCACTTATTCTACTTGTTTTGTGATTTGCTTCTTTTATTCTTATTCTTGCTACTTCCACTTCACACCACCCATTACAAGGAATTCATAATTGAGGCCATCTTATAATTGGATTGAAGAGTAAATTTTATACTCACACATGGATAGTATGAATCATGACTATCACGACCACATCCAATTATTGGTGTTGACAATAGATAAGTATCAATCATGTTGAATTTCTATAATATTTTTTTAATATATATTAGTTAGTAGAAAAAAAAATGCTACATTCTATAAGATGTATAATCTGAAGTCCAATGTAGAAAGTTATTATTTCAAGCATTTTCATTTCAAACTCAAAGATAAATAGGTTAGTAGCTGCAATGTATGCAGATCTAATATCCACTAGGTTAAGATCATCAACATATACAACAATGATCACAAAACCAATTTTATCTCATTTGATAAATAAATAAGAGATTAGTGGATCACTTATAAATTTATTTATAATTAAATAATTTTAAAGACATTGATAAAATATACATCCAAATTATTTTATACTATATAAGGCTTTTTTTAATTTAATATCTTGATATTATATTGAAATAGGTACATTTGAAGTTCTTATTTTCAAACTAGGTAGAACTTTCATATAAATATTTGTACCAAGAGAACTATACAAATATGTAGTTATCACATCCATAAGATGCATCTCAAGGGTGGCATAAACTGCCATTTTAATAATATATCAAAATGTAATTGAATCCATGATTGAAGATTATGTAGATTCATAATTAATGCCAAATCATTGGATAAATCTTTGGGCAACAAGATGAGCTTTATAGCAGATTATTTGACCTTTAGTATCTTGCTAGCATATTAATACCATCTTATATCCTATATAGTAAGAAGTAAGAGTATCTATAATTAGACCAAAGTCTTTCTTCTTATGCAAAGAAGCATATTCTTTCTTGATAGAAATTTCCTATTTTAATTAGTCAAAGCGACGCATTGCTTCCTAGATGGTTTGAGATTTAGGATCTTTTTTCTTATAAGAAAGAACTTCTGCAATAATGAATACAAATAAATCATCTATTTTAATAGATGGTCTATTCCAAATATCATTTGTAGCATAATATAGAATAGATAATTATATATTCAACTTAATTTTAGTCTTCCTAATTTCCAATTTTTTTATTACATGACATAAAGGTATAATTTGTATGAATATATCATCATTGATTGATAGTCCCATAGGATAAGTAGGAACTTCTACAAAAACAATATCAGAATTATCACATGTTATAGCCTTCTTCTTTTGTAGTTGCTTATCTTGTCGATAAGTCTTTTTAATTTTTGATGTTTTAATCTGAGGTATATTAGTTAGTCGTATTGCAATCTGAGGAGGTTCATTTTGAGCCTCATTAATTAGAATTCTTGTAATCCAAAGCGCATCATTAAAGCCATCAGGAGTTTTATCTACAATCCATTTTAAATACAAAATCTTTGCAACTTCAATTTCAATCAAAGATATTCTAGGATCAAGATTTATTGTAAATATTTTTAGTGCTTCAAATACAAGTACTATATTATTTTTTTGATTAAATACTCCACCTCTAAGAGATGGATATATGTTCTCTTTAAAACAGTAATTTTTAAAAACGTACATATAATAATGTGCAAGTTGATGGATCAATAAACAAATAATGCTTGATGAATCAAAACCAACATATATGCCCTTTTGTTGATGAATTCTAATAGTATGCCATTGAAGTTCTGATACTAGAATCCAAACATGGCAACTAAACATCTGTAGATAAAATGTATTTAGAACATGACCCGAAAGGAGCTCTTATGGTGTAATAATTTTAAGAAAAGAAGGACAAAGGCATATTAATGCTATAGCATGAAAAATTACATAATCCTACATAGATGCAAGTAAATTTACTTGAAAAACAAGTAGTCAGGTAATGAGTTGTATATGCTTTATAAATGACTCTACAAGTCCATTTTGAGCATGTTCATGTTGAACAAAATATGTCAAGTCAATTCTTATTACAATATAATAGTCTTTAAAAGACTTTGATGCAAATTCTTTTACATTATCTATACGTAATGTTTTAATAGAATAATTAAGAAAATGTACTTGAAAAATATAAGAATAGATATAAGATTGGCAAATACCATGTTTTAAATTGATAATTATAAAATCTATGATTGTTTGCATGATGCATCAACAATGATCAAAAAATAACAAGATGGTCCAGATATTGGATTAATAGAACCACAAATATTACCATGCAACCTTTCAAGTATTGGTGGTAACTTTCATTGAAGTTTTTAAATTGAAAGCCTAGCAATCATCTTATCTTGTACACATGTACAACATAATTTCATAGAATCTCTATTTACAAGTCTTAAATTATGTCTAATTATATATAGAATTATCTTCCAATAAAATATAGATTCAAGATGTTCCAATCGTCCATGCCAAAGACAAAAATGACTCTTTATTATAGATGATGCAAAATTAAATGTAATGGAAGGTTGGATTGCAATCTAGTATAAACCATTTGTCACAGCAAAAGCTTTTTCTATGACTTTATCATTTTTTATAAGAATCAAAACCTCCCACTTATCTAGAATTGCAGTTGAGAGGTGATAACTATTGGCATACTCATCTTGATAGTTGATCAGACTCTTAGATGGTGAGGATGCAAATATTATATGTTTATACTTTATAATAGAACTCACAAGCAATTTTAACATTGTTGTCCCCTCTTAGAAATGAAACGCATTTGTTCTAGCCATAGTCATCAAATTTCTAGTTTACCAAGTTAAAGATTTTTTAGTAAAAAATCATCTATCTTGCAGAATAGTATGTATTGTTACAAAATCAATGAATGCATCATTTGACTCATCTTTAGAATTTTTATCATTTATATAAGCTTCTAAATCATCAACACCAATTGAATCCATGGACACATCCATGGTATGAACTTCACAAGCCTTAGCTCGAAGTTTCTTATTTTTTTGAAATATTTTAACAAAGTATTTTGAAATATGGCAAGCATGTCTCAAATATCCAATCATTCCATATTTATGGCAAGAATGCATCTCTGATTTTTGTTTTTTAATGTAATTCGGTATAAAACATTTATTCTTTTCATATGGGCAGAAATAGATACGTCCATGATTGAAGTGGTGCTTATGAGCACTTTTTCCATATTTGTATATTTTTTCTTAGACTTTGAAATATATATAAGATCATCAAAAGATTTCTTACAATCATCATGTGCACGTGGAAGGAAAATGGTCTTTTGATGATCAAACCTGGATTTAAGATTCTCCTAAAACTTGGTTGGATCTTCCATTTCCATATATTGATGTGGTAATGCAAGTACAAGATGATGACAAAGGAAAAGAAGTACTTTCCAATGGATAGCAAGAGGAATTGAAGTACTTACAATAAGAGATTCTTCAAAGAAAATTACATCTGAGAGTTGTTCTTGAAATAAATTTGTTTTTGCTATTTTTTTCCATAATAGATAATTATTTCCATTGATAGCCAATATGTTTGTGTACATAAATAATGGACTGGAGTCACACCATGACAAACCCAAGTGGCCTGCATAGAATGGACCACTTGGGGTGGTGTTAGAAGAGGGCATGAGGACCATTTCCATGTATGTATGTGTGTACATATGTCTGTCTGTCTATGACCTGAGCAAAGCAACTGGTCCCAGCTTCTTCTTCTGCATCTTCCTCCTCCTGTACACAAGGCTCACATAGTAGAGGGGTTTGCATAGGTCAGTTGAAAAGCTTATTAACCCTTGAATATGTCTCACTGTGGTGCTGTTGAAGAATGAAGTGGTGCCAGCAAACTCTACGTGTCGTCAAAGGCGTGATTTAGTTTCTGAGTCTGCAGCTGCGGTGACTTCCCCTTAAATCCCGTAAATTGGGAACACAAATTGGGTTGTGCACTCGAGCTCTCAAGGTTGTCTTTTCTTTTAGTAGGGCAATTATCAATAAGCAGAAGAAGCTCTGCTGCTACTTACGGGGTCGTGGCTTTTGATCCACCTCGCAAACCCATACTTTGAGGATAACTTGCTGGAGGTGCTTTAGAGGTGGATATCGGCTTTGATTACGGGGATTCCACATGGAACCAAAGCGTGGCACAAGGACTCTCGTAGATAAGTAATTTCAACAACTTTCCAATTTCGTAGAAAAGATATTACTTCATAAGCCTTGCCAAACATACAGAGAATCGACCATCATCAGTTTGCAAGTTCCAGAGGATTACAATTACAGAGTGAGGCAGATCAAGGCCTCATTTTGCCTATACTAGGAAATATCCAGCACCCATTACTTCCGCTGAGCTCTGTACATTCTTCCGGTGTTCTGAAGTGCAGAATAAATGCTTGTGGCGAGCTTTAGGCCCAGGAAAGAAGACTGTTCCGCAATTAAAAGCAAAGATCCTAGACCTGCTCCACCAGTTGAACCAGTGCCACCGTTGAAAGTGCCAACCATCGGTGAACAAACTGTGTAACGGCCCAGGAGAGCGAGAATATTGTTCTACATGTAAACCTGCACCAACCTCGCGGGCGAAGGTAATGCTAACATTCCACTTGTCCTGTGGTTATTGGAGAAAAATGAATAAACTATCTCTTGAGGGTACTCGCCCAGCATGACATAGTTCAGAATAAGGATGCCGCTGAACCCCATTTCTTTTTGAACTTGGCCACCTGAAGACGAGCTACGAATTTGTACCATATCGCTGTAACCAGGGCTCAACACGTCAGGCAGCTTGAAAACGCGGCTTGACACGCAGACCTAGAAGGGACACTACGAGCTCAGGAGATATCAAACGGTCTCCTGGTCGAGCGATCCACTGTGCGTGCTCTCACATACAGTTCAGATGACACAGCGATGTCGACTGGCAAAGATTAGCTAGTTTCTACAACATCCACTGCGAAGGGGGGCCCGGTGTAGCTTAAGGCTTCATGACCAGGTTGAGAATTAATCACAGCTGAACCCAATAGCGTGTATTGACCAGGGACCAAGAAACAGAGGGAAAACCGGTGCACCACCTCTCCAAGGGCTCCCACTTCCACATTCACTCTGTCGAGTGTTCCTATCATCACAACGCCACATTACTTCATAAAAATAAAAATAAATCAAGACAACTGAATACATAAAACCATACAGCACAAGGCCCAACCACTCTCATCGACCCAGATTTGAAATTAACCACAGCACACGAATCCAGTAGGCAGCAACCACACGATGCATCTTCGAACCAAATGCGAAAATCCAGCACACACAGTGCACAAAAACAAGCAGGATGCAAAAGAAACCACAACTACACCCCAAGGGCGAAAGGCATAGTTCGCAGTAAGAACTCACCAGCCCAGAGCACTGTTGCCTTGGTGCCAGCAGCACCCAAGCAACTTGTACCAGTCACATCCCGGCAGGTGACACTAAGTGTCATTTTGACAGCCTCGTTGGTGTTGTTTCGGACCAACATTTCAATGGGTGCCAGTTCCCGAACACCAAATCCGCCCTTATTGTCAGTAGAGAGGCCTCCATCATCTGCCTCCACCTTCTGCAGACCTATTCTGGGAGACCCGGGAAGACTATCAAGGTCACCACTGTCTCTAACGCTTCTTAGTGAAGGAGCTGAAATCGAGGTTTTCGCAAGTCGAAAACCGAATGTTAAAGAATCGGGCAATAGAATTTTCAGTACAGATGCCTGCAGAGCTTCTCTAAGAGCATCCTTTATCGGCAATTCCCCTGCACTGTTACGCCCAGAAGTCCACCTCACACATATTTTTGAACTGAGCTCGTCAATTGCTGCATTCAGCTCAACTTTGGCCTGCCGCTCTATTCCGTCCTTCGACTGTATCATGGACTCTCTTCGTATAGACACTCGTGCAAGACTGGCTTTGTCCAGGCCAGCTAGCTTGAAGCGCTCCAATGGGATAAGCACACGAGCAGCGTAATCTCGGTCTATCCTTGTTCGAGGGTACAAACATTCGGCATCCTCCACCATACTTCCTCCCTCTCCAGCCTCTTTGCTGGTGACAACAATCTCAAATAGAACATCCGTTGCGTTCCAGAGCTCCAGCTCTAAGAGTCGCATGCCCCAGCTACCTCTGTAAGGATCCATTTTCACTAGACTTTCCTCACTCTCCGACGGTTGGTCGCGAGCAACAGAGTCGGGAAGTGAGCTGCTGATGTTCGCTGCCACTTCCATAGATAAGAACTTGGCTTGCACGAGACACAGGCCTTTCAAGACATGCAGTTGCAGTGGCAAGGCTACTCTCCTGCCAGGAGGTGGATCAGCCCCTTCTTGGAGCAACGGCCCTGCGTAGTGAATGACCAGCATCGGACTTGCAGTGTCTTTCGTAAGCCTCACAAGATTGCGCAGATCTATATCAGCTGTAGGTGCGCCAGCTTTCAAAGTCACTGGTACGACCACAGTGGCACCAGGGGGCAATGGTAAAGCATCTTCCAGCACACTGTGTCCAATGCACATCACATGCTGCTGTTGTTTTCCCGTTAATGTCATGTGAGCCTCGACTACCGGTACTACGCCTGCATTGGACAAACTGATTTGCATCTCTCTGATTTCGCCCTCGTATAAAACAGCGGCTCCTTCTCCACTCACTACTCGTGCCACGAGCATTGGCAACGGAGGGACCACCTCTACCTTCTCATACTGGGCAGGCTGGTGAACCTTGTGCCCACTCCGAAAGACATCCAATAGTGCTGTCCCTTTCACTGAACCCCATTCACAAACTTCTTCGAATAGGTGCTCTGTTATTACTCCAAAGCACTTCACGATGCAGCCCCTAACCGTGAGCGACCCTACTGAGAGAGGCAATCCAGATAGTGACACAACTTGACCCGAACTCGGGGGCAGTGTGACCGAAACAGGAAAAGCCTCGAATTGTGTATGCTCCACGGACAGTGCAATGCTCTCAACAGTAACCTCAAACACACAAGGGTTGGCAAGCTCCACTAAAACTTCCACGGGCTCCCCTACAACCCATGTGACGGAAATTCTAGTGTTAGCATCACCCTTCGCAGTAAAAGGAGTGTAAATGAAAGGACCAGTTGAAGTGCGCCCCTTCCACCATTCCTTGTTGCTAGCACTTCGTTTTACAATTTCCCTATCTGCTGGCATTGCAGTATAGGAGTGTAATCTTACGAAAGGAATACCTGGGTCGACTGACCTCGTCCCAGGGTCAAGACGCTTGGCAGACATAGAAAGAGCAGTTGCCAAGGTTGATTGCGAACTTGGTGGAATCAGAGGGAAATGATTTCTGAGCAAACGAGCAGCCGCATTCCAAGCAGCCAATGCATCCCCTGCGCGAACTGCAGCAGAGAGCATGTCGTACAATACGTCCACTTGCAATGTGCTCCATTCACCCACCTGTCTCTCTTTCCCTTCCGCCTTGTTACTCAAGCATTTGTATGACTCTGCAGTGAGGGACATTACCTGTAGGGCACTAACGGCAGCCCAATGACTATGTTGCTGTTGGTACAACAAACCTACTTGGCGTGCGTAAAAGGCTGCCTTTCGATCGTAGCCGATCGCAGCAAAGATCCGGGCCGCTTCCACATTGACCACCAATCGATCACTAGCATCCATCAAACCCTTCGACCATTCCACGGCTCCCATCACTAGCTCCATCACTTCTTTCGCAAGCTCCTTCCTGCAGAGGAACCTCGCGAGCTTCAGAGTTGCTTCCAGCTCAAAGGACAATGCCGTAGCCCTGCGATAGAGCTGGATTACCTCTGAGTATCGAAATTGCACTTCTTGTTCCAACAAATAATCTTTGTGCCCAGCTCGATCCAAAACAAGAGCACAGACATAACCCTCAATGGCTCCGGCTTGCCACAAACTATCGCCAGTGAGCCGAGCTAATTCGATAGCAGTATAGTAGTGAGAATTGGCATCCAATGGTGACCCTGCGAGCAAGCAATAATCCCCCATCGTTTTTTGAACTCGACCTAACTTCCTCTTCTTATTCACTTCGTCGGAAGTAAGAGAAACCTGGGAATCCAACGGTGTGACAAGGCGCACGGGTTTGAGATGCAGCACCCAGCTCTCGAAAGCCATGAGCAACGACGCCGCAAAGTCCTGCATCAAAATCTGCATGTGGCTTTTCAGCTTCTGGCGATCCATGGTCGGGAACATCACCAGAAACTCTTTCTTTTTCTCATCATCCGAGTCTATCTGAACATCCGTCGGATGAAACGCAAAACATCTAGTCACCTGGGCGGACGGATACGCCTTGCAGATCGTCAGAAACTGGTCATACGCGGTACTAATATCTGGCGTAAGAGGAAGATGGCACAATCCTATCACTCCCAGAATCTTTCTGTGCGCCTGGAAGTCTTCCCAGGGACTCTTCGACGCACCGCCCACCATAAATTTCAGCAACAAGCTTCCCGTTTCCCATAGCTGCTGTGAAAACGGGCTTTTCTGATGCTCGGTGTAATAAGTACTCACAGTTGACAGCGGAATCTGGGCATGCTGCACTAACATCTCTACGTAGTCGCGGAATTGCGATGGGGGCATCTCTCCGATGGCCACCACCGCCACCCGTATCATGCTGCCCCCTTCCACGCTGACCTCCGGCTCCATCGCCGCACCCTACTTCCGACCCTGGCCAACACGAAATCCCTCCCCCGCAGAAACCCTACAAATGCAACCACCGCGCCAGGCCGCGGCCCATCACAACCCCACGACGCACGCTAGAAAAGAAAGTAGGCACCGCCCAGCGATCAGAGCAGCAACCTGGCTACGAGGAGGAGGGAGCACTCACTGCCTGTCCGGGCTGTCCGGGTGCAGTGCTGCTGAGGGGCTCTTCTTCCCGCCGAGGCCATCATGGGCATCATGGTTATGGGCCCCTATCGACGAGAAGCGTTGCTGCACCGCCAGCACCAACACAAGCACAGGGCGAGAGAGAGAGAGCGAGAGCGAGAGCGGGTGTGCCTCCCTCCACCACCACCAACCAGCACCGCTGAGCTGCGGGGAGCGCCGGGGCACAGCACAGCATTAGCAAGGCAGAGAGCAGAGAGAGCACAGAGAGCATGGCACTGGGACTAGGGTGCTCCTCCTCCTCCTCCTCAATTCTTCTAAAGGCTCAAGGGATTTTGCCTCCACGAATGGGCTTCATTGTTTCATTCAACTCTTCTACATTTGTTTATACATTTAGCACAGATTTTCTTGCTTTGCAAAGTATCTGAGAAAATATATGCCATTCATGTCCATAGAGATTGTAGAATATGAGTCACAAATTATATAACATAATGTTTAAAATATTCCACACAAAACCCTTTTTTATTTTATGTTTTGCCTATGTTTTAAAGATTAAACTTGTATTTAGATGAAAAATAAGAAATTGTTGAAAGAGAAGAAATATATTACTTGATTAAGATAGTGTGCATAATGTATACAAATATATAAATACATTAAGCAACAACAAAAGAAGAAACTGATTAGTTTTTTCAGTTGCAAATTTGTTTTTTTTATTATGGCTTAAGACTTGAGTGAATTTTTTTTAAATCATCTAAATCAATATATGTATATACATACTGTAGTAGCATTATACATTCCAAAAATTTGGTATTAATAATATAAACCTCAACCATCTTATTTAAAACTGAAAGTGTATTCTAAAAATATCCACGAGCATACAAATGTGCTATTAATTTTAGTTCAAACCATTGATGTGTCAATACTACTTTAACTTTCAATGATGATAATGACCTTTGTTGTTGTTGTTGTTTTTTCTTTCTTTTTTTCGTTACATTCTATTTTGGTATTCATCTTGAAATAAGTTAATAAATTATTGTTTTTCCCAAAATATTCAAAGTTCTTCGTTCATATATATATATATATATATATATATTTATATTTAAAAAAAATATTATGATGTTCAACAAATTTTCTTCAGTTAAGCCATCAAACTCACAAGTGTGTCAAATGAAGCCAACACAACCAAGGAGTAACCTTATTCAAGGAAAAACCGTCTTAATTAAGCACATCATAAACCCTATTGAAACATTCACAGTTTGGTCAAATCATCTTTTTAAGAATTGATACCATCAGGTAGTGTTTTAGTTCCTTTAAGACTCTCCAATAGAACCAAGGTCATACCTTGAATTCCAACGTTTTTTTTTGAGACACTGTCTAGCTTCCAAAATCATGAAAAGGATAATGATGTTTTCATTATGATATCTCCTACAAGATATGATAGGATTTTCTACCACGATACTAAATAAAGCTGTAGTTGGACATTTTTGTTTTTTCTAAAAGACAACATTAGGTGGTTCTCATTATACTTTTGACCATGATACCACCTTGAATGAAACTCCGAATTGGACAAGCGACCCGTGCACAATTATATACTTTGTGTGAAAATATAGAAATAGTACTTCATTTGTTTTAGTGCAATCAAGCTATAGAAGTTATGCCACATCGAAGATTTGCAATGCTTATCCATTGTGGTGCATCTTATCCTGGCCCACTCTAGTTATTTATAATTGTTTTTGTTCACATCTGTAAATTAGTTGATTTTGACAAGTACAAGGTATCTAATGTCTTATTCTTTCGTTATGCAAAATGTTTCAAGTGATGAGTTCCACACCAAAGAATGTGCTATGCAACCACATGAATTTTTGATTCACGCAACATCACCAAATCACATAGTTGTGCATGAAAGCAAGTTTTCACTAAGAAGGAGACGGACTTATCAGATGCAGCAACAACTTGGGCCAAGACATGAACAGGGAGAGCTCTGTGTGTCTGTGTGTGTCTGTCTGTCGCATGTGCAGCCAGCCCTCGATACCCGGGGAGCCGCAGTGGACGGACGGAATGTCTGGTTTTGTCTTTATGCAAAGAGTGGAGCTTGCTCGTGGGCTGGGCTTTGCGTGCAGGCCTTCACCCTCTCGCTGCATCATCAGCATCATCGGCTGCGCGCTGTTTCTTCCAGTGCACGGGATTCTATTCTCGATCTGCTTACTCATTCTCTTCACGTCTCATCTCTCCACTTGGGTCTGGTGCCATCATCATGATCCACTCCGATTTTGGGCTTTCTTTTTTTTTTTCTTTTCTTTTTTTTTTTCTTTTTTCCTTATATTTACTCAACGTGATTTGTTTTTTTCATTGGAATTGAAAAGATTCGAAACGTGTGGTCGCGTCTCTGACGACCATAAGAGTGTCCTGTGAGAACTGGAATAGTGGTTTCAGAGTGGTCTTCTGAGTTGTTGTTTCTTTGCTCTCTCTGGTTCAGTTCAGTGGTTTGGATTCTGAAGTTGTGCAGAGTGCGTTTGAGAATGTTGCCGAATCGTAAGGTTCTGAGATTGGATGGTGTGACTAAGGAGTGGACAATTTTGTGAATTCAGTGCGTCAAGGTTGTGTTTTTGAAGCAACTGGTGCCAACCGTGGACACAATTACCAGTCGTTGCCTTGTTATTCTCATCCAAATTAGGTCACAACTGGATTCCTTGGCCGGCAGAGACTTGTCTGACTACATTTAGCCCGTAGCAACACATTGCCTGTTCAGCAGACGTTTTCTCTCGAACTTTGAGCGAGTCAGTAGGAAATATGGTCTCGTTGGTGAGCAATTATGAATGGGGTTCTTTGTTCTCAATCTTCCCCTATTAGAGGCTTTGCAGGATTGCCGAGGGAGAATCGGTAGTGTGATGTGCTTGCTTTACGCTGCATTGTAGAGGTTCTGCGTTTTAGAACCTGTTATACTCTGTCTGTAAGCTTCGCTACAATTTTCAGGGGTTTGTGTGTCTGCTGCGTTGTAGAGGATCTTCTGTCACGAAACCAGTAGTGGTTCGTCTTACGTGGGTTTGAAGCAATAAATCTGGAGATGGGTCAGTTTTATGAACGAGATTCTGGAACTAGCGATGCATGGAAGAGCACTGCAAAGAAGAGGCGGTCTAGTGGAAGTTTTTACTCTGTACGCAGTAACTCCATAACAAATGTAACCAAGAACACGCTTGCGTTTATCAGGCACCAGCGCGGCAAGCTCTACATTTTGCGCCGCTGTGTCATCATGCTCATCACAGTCGCTCGAGAGAAGTGATCAACTTCGGTAGAGAGTTAAGAACGTTTTTGGAGAGCTGGCCAAATCAGAGCGTGTGCGTATTGTGATTTCGAACGGAGCCGATCATGTTTGAAATTATCCTTTTCTTGGCAAACTCACTGCTGAAGATTGTTTGGATTGCGGAGGACGCTTGTGAACACGAATAGAATTTTCGACCGTTCTCTTCCCTGTGGTAGCAATGACTTCGTTGCCCAACGGAGCGAAAGATGTGACGAGGAAGTTGAAAAGTCTGCGGGTATTTTTTATGTACATAGGTTGAAATTCGATGACATGAACCAAGACGAAAAAATCAGGAAGGCTTTGCGTGAACTTATTTGGCAAGCTAAGGTTGGCCGTTGCTGCACCCCTGATGGAAACATATGGCAGGAATTATTCAGCAATCAGCATTGATGACAGATGCTGGCCATCCTTCAGAATAGCGACAGATCCTGTGGAGTTGATTTCGGCGTGAGTTTCTCCCGGATCTAAGATGTTGCAATAGAAGTTTTTTGTTCACATCAATGGAAGTGTAAGACATTGTTGCGTTTGTAAATTACCCTCCGAGTAGGAATCCTGGCGTTCGAGAGGGCTTCTACCTTTCAATAGCTCCTTCAATCTGGCAGACGCTGGGTAGGAATTCAGACTCGAAGAGTTGAATTCAGTTGTGATGCCGTGCCTGAAGTGGTAGTCACTCCACGAGTGAGAGAATTGAGCGATGTAAGTATTTGTGGGTGTAAGTGTGGTGGATTTGCTTCTGTACACATTTGATGTCATTCAATGCATTGTACATATTTGCAAGGCCTTTGCAATCACCATTCCTGAGTCGTGAGCGTTGGTCAAAGTAGGTGCTGGGTTTCCTGTTTTACTGCTTTGTTGTCACGTCCATGGCAAGCATGTTGATATGTTCAATTTTGCTCTGCACCCAATGTAGCAAATATTATGTGGAAAGGTATGAGGACTCTGAATAGTCTTCTAGTGTAGGATCTATTCTCTGTGCTGGAAGTCTTAGCAGGAGCTGCATCTAGTGGTGTAGATGCAGAATGGAAGCGCTGGTGTGGGTCCAAGGAGGTTGAACATGACGTGGTCTTCCGAAGACTTAGATTAGGGATGACCTTGAGTTCGGTCACGATGGTTGGACTCAATTTTGAGAGCAAAAGAGATGAAATTTACTTGAGTTAGGAAACTCCCATGTCGGGTTTAATGCTTGGTTAAGTAATTTAGCGCAATGTCTGGCTCTCATGTGATTCACTCATAACATCTTTTGAATATTCTAAAAATTGTATTATTTTTGATGTTGCATTTATCGGCATAATGAATGATGCAGCATCTTCCTAAATGTACATGAACAAATGTTTTGGAGATGGGAGGCAAAGCTACAATCTCAACGATTCAACACTTACAAATAAATCAAGTGCATAATTGAATTTCTAAGAAATAAGCCGGAAAAAAAAAACAAACAAACTAAAGCATCAATATGAGGTATATGAAGATGTTTTTTTTACATTTTTGAAATCAACATTTGCAACTATTATTGCACATACAAAGATTAAAATTTTAATATACTGATTTTGATGATAATCTGCAAATTAAGATGTAAAAAATGAATATTTAAATGCATAAATTATAAAGAAATAATTTAAAGTGAAAAACAAGATCTACATTGGATAAAAAATAACTTCAATAAATATGAATAAAAATTCTTCTATATTTCAATCATTAAAATTTATTGAAATTAATAATATTTAATTTAATTTTAATCCCAAAAAATTGTAAGACAGACTTCTTTTAAATTAAAACTAGTATCATCAAAATGTTTTACAATTATCTTTTAGAAAGAAAAAAATCTATCATAACATTAACTCAAAAAGAACGTGGTTGATATAATGTTTGAAAAAATACAAAATTTTAATAATTAGTTATACATGTTGTCGATTTATAAATTAAGTTAAAATTTAATTTTTGAAAAATTATCCAAAATATATGATGGAAAGATGTAATACATGAAACTAAAGTTAATTGAAAATTCTAAAAATTAATATATTTATATATTTACTCTATAATACAAGAAGAAAATTTTAAAATAATATTTATTAATTAGCTTTTAATAAAGTATAAAAACTATTTTTTTTACATTTAGATATTTATTAAATAATATACTTTAAAAATTAATAGATTTCAATGATAATACTCTAATATATTTAGTATTTAATATAAATATTTAAATATGTAAATTTTTAAAATGAATATAATAAATTAAAACTATTCACATGTCACAACTTGGTTTTTAGGATAATGTATTTAAATTTTTAATCTAAAGGGTCATATTATCTAAATATCTATTTTAAAAATTTATTAAATAAAAGCTTTCTATTACAGAAGACAGACAATAGAAGAAGATTCAAGAAGTTTCTAAAAGATTCTAGAAGATTTCCAATGATTTTGAGAAGTTTCTAATAGATTCTAGTAGATTTAAAGAAGCTTCTAAAAGGTCATAGAAGGTTCTAAGGAATCTTAAAAGATTCTTAAAGGCTTACTTCACCTCAAAGTATTAAGAAAATCTTCTCAAGGAGCTTTCTTGTTCCTAATATATATATATATATATATATATATAAAAGTTGAAGCTTAAGGGATCTTTAATCTCAACAATGCAATCCCTATGGCTCAATTTGAGCCTTTTAGTTTTGTTCTTGTACCTTATTGTAGTTCTTTGTTTGTAATATAATGTGAATATTTTCTATTTCGTTTTTTTGAATTCTTAAAGTCTTGTCTTGTCTTGTCTAAATGATGTGTCCATAATGATTTGTTGAAACTGACATAATACAATATTAGAGCTTGATCTTTTTAAATAGATAGCAGATAATCTTTCTTCTTGAAAGTACTAAAGCATTCTAAAAATTGTAGATTACTCTCTTTTAGACCAATATTGTTCTTGATTTCTTGTATTTTTTTTTTGTTCTTCTTTCCTTTTTATAACAATAAGTAAGTAATTCAATATGTCAAATTCTAAAGAAGCCAAATTATTTTTAATTATAAATGCTCTTGAATTATCAAAAGTCAAGACAAAGACCTTGTCAAAAAAAATGAAAAACTTTAAATGACAATATATAATGATCAAGGAACAAAACCATCTTAACTACTACAACAAGTCTTCTCAAAATTTCTATTATTAAGGTCTTTCTTTACTAGAAGATGTATGTATTTGAAATAATAATTCAATTTCAACATTGTAAGAACTAAAAATTAGTCTCTCAAAGAAATTTGATAGAAATTTATTCAAAGTTTTGTGGCTTTAGAAATCAAGTAAGACTTATTACTTTGCTCCATCCTCAATATTATTCTACAAAAGTATCTTATATTGGTTTGATTAGAATTAATCTTTCAAATCAAGATTTATTTTGATTTGTTTCATTATTTGAGATTTATTTTATCATATTGCATAATTTTGAGATATTTTTGGCCACATTTGAAAAAACATTTAGTGAACATGAAAAAATTTATCTTACAACAATCAAGATTCAAAGGCTATGATAAAGAAAACATGTTCTATATTGATTTATGCCTTGGATTTATGACAATTAGTATGTGATATAAATTGGAGAGAAGAGATATTAATAAGTAAATTTTAGTTAAATTATAAGATAATATCAAGGATCTATTATTATCTATTCATATTGACAATCACTCAATGAAGCCATTAGTTAAGTTGTAAAGTGCAATAAATAGCTTTTTCAACACCAAGAAGATAATTTTTTATTATTTGTATTATATTTTTATTTGGCATCTTTTATATCTTCTAATTATAGTAAAAATTTGAAAATAGAAGATGTACAAATTGATGTAGTATTCTTCAAACTTATTTTTGAATAAGAAAAAAAATGTCAAAGAGAATTAAATTGTGTTTGTTGTAGAGAACCTACCTACAAGATTGATAATTGTGACAAAAAGCTCCAACATATATATCTAGTAAGGAATACAATCATATTACTAAATACATTGAAAAAAATAAAATAATTCCCAAACAAATAAGGAACATGTGGTTAGATTCTTTTACTTTACAAATTAAAAAAGATCCTATATTAATATTTCATTATTCTTGTTGCTTCATCATACCAATATTTTTAAGTATTTAAAAATTTAAAATCCTTGCTTATATAGATTTAAGAGTTTTTTATTACTTTATCAACTTATAATTTTTAAGAATCTATAAAATTTATAAATTCAAGAAATCAAGGTTGTCGATGCAACAGTCATATATGTTTAACTTTTATCCTTTAAAGATGTTATTTATAAAACTGGTCTATTAGAATTAATATTAATTAATCATATTAATTAATTTATATTTAAAATTATTAAATATCTATGTGATCATATTATTTTAGGACTTTCTTAGTTGAAAAGTTACAATTCTTGTATAGATTGGATAATTGGTATTTGTTGTATTTGTATTTGGCAATAGCTATTTTAGTTTTAATTATATATCTATCTTTTAGATATCAACTTTTTTTCATAATGTAAATACTATTCAACTATTTAATAAATTAGACTACCTAATATTGAGACTATTTTCTATTTAAAAGAAAATTAACTTTTTTGCTTATTTATTTGAGTTATAAGTATTTATAAAGATATATTATATTTTTTATATTCTTTTTTTAATCTTTTAAAAAATCAATTACATTAAGAAGAATACAACCACTACCATTGTATATTGAATTGGATAACAATAAAAATTTTGAGATGAAAGAAATACTTATTATAAGGCTAAAGCAAGAACGACTATGGGACTATTTGCATTGGCACAATTACAACATTAGTGCATGTACATAAGAGGCAACTTTAAATTGTTTTTGAAAGAAAATTGCCACATACTACTGCTCAATAGTAAATCTAAATAAGATCTAAAAGACAATATCTTTATATATTACTAAATATGGAAGAAATTTTAAAATTATCTTACTTCTATTTACTGAAATAAAGTAGATATCCATTATAATAGTATAATGTAGGAAGATGCAATAAAAATAATAAAAAGATTATTTATTATAAATTAAAACATATTATCTCATATTTTTATCCTCATAATTATAAAAAATCTTAAAAATTAATTTCTGTTTTTAAATAATAATTGTTTATATAAAATTTCTAATTTAAAAATATAAAAAACCACGCCTTTATATGGACCTACTTCAAATGTAATGGAACACTATTTATAATATGTAATTTTTTTTTATTCTATTCTATTTTTTTTAGGTTTTATAGAATTGATTTTTTGGAGAGTAAAGTCAACTAAGTAAGGCTACTTAATTTCAGTGAACTAAAAGTTTTAAAAATTATGGCCTCTTATCTTCTATTTTGAGTATAAAGATCATTTATATTAAAATAATTTTAATTTAGTCTTTAAACACTAAAATCAAATAAAATAACATGCATAGAATTAATTACAAATTATTGATTTTTTTGTGGCATAAATTAAAACTTATAATATATAATAGAATATTACTAAATATAGCCCTTTTAACTATGATGTTTAAATTTTAATAAACCCTTAAAATTTATATGAATATGAATTGTTTGCTTTATTGTATGAAATAAATCCTTTTAATAAATATAAACAAAAAATAAAATTTTGAGTTGAAATGGAATGCATTTTAATTTTTATAAAAATTCCTTAATTGTAGCATTTATTCTTATTTAATTAAAAATTAAATGATTTTATTTTAAAAATACACTTTAATAATTAGAAGAGTAATTTTAGTTTAAATTCCAATTGCATTTCAAATAAATTGTGATGTTTTAGTTTTCAATAAATTCAAGTGATATTAGCTCTGAATAACAAATCTTCAACATTAATTTTAATTTTAATTTTTGAAAATAAATTCATGCATGCTTTCATTTTGACTTGGTTGTTATTTCATGAGTATAAATTTTAGAAGCAACAATATTGTGAAGTGAAATGAAATCAACTTAGCAACAGTACTGAATCCAAAACGGAATTTTACACTCATAGATCTGAAGGAAGTTTCCCAACAATTAAGTCCAGACTTTGAGAAAAAACTCTAAAGCAGTATGTTACAAAAAAAAAAAAAAAAAAAAAAACAACAACAATCGAATTATTTGGGCTTACACCATGAATGAGATCAATTCAAGGTACGAAAATTTAACTGAGTTTTTTTTTGAGGAACATCAGAAGCAACAAAGTGAGGAAACAGGAAGATAAAGAACAAGGGATGTGACACAAGTGGGAGAGTGGGAGAGTGAGAGGGGAGGGAGGGAGGGCCAATGGCATTCTTCTTCGTTCATTGGGGACTTCTGTCGGTCATTATTTCATCCATCCACCAGCACCTCGTGGGTTTTGGGGGGGGGGGGTGTCGTCTTCCTTCTTCGTTCTTCTACGTTTTTTTCTTCACCTCGTATTTTTCCCAACCGCACCATCGTCGTGCTGCCATGCAACCTCAGTCGCCTCCTCCTCCTCGTCCCCTCTGATCACGTCGCTCATGTCTGTGCTCCTCAACAGTGTCTGCCTGAGCCCACGCCACACTTCGTAATCATGGGGAAGTCTGTTCCGTTGCCCCTTTTACCAGTTATTCTGGCGTCTTTGGTCCAGGTTGCGGCTGCATCCCACGGCGCTAGCTCGTATCAGGATTATCTTGTTGATAAAGTTCTCCCGCCCAACCTCCACGTGAAAAGCCTGATTTTTGTGAAGGCGTGCTGCCTGATTATTGTGTTCTGGTCGACCTTTTTCGCGGCGATTTCTCCCTATTTTTTGCGATGGAACAGCTCATTTTTGGTCCTGGGCACCCAGTACTCGGGAGGTGTGTTCTTGAGTACTGCATTGATACATTTCTTGAGCGACTCGCACAACGGCTTTCAAAACCTTACCACGAACGATTACGCATTTGCTGAGCTTCTTGCGAGTCTGGGTTATTTGATCACAATGTTTGGCGACTTGGTCATTCAGTGGGTGTCCTTGCGGGATCCCAATTCCCATGCGCCTGCTTCTGTGGACGAAGTCAAAGGTGTCATCACATTAGGTGTGTCATGCAACGGAGACGTAGAAGATGAATTAGCACGCACATAACTTTAGAGTGTCCACCAGTTTGTTTAGTCGGCCTGAAGCCAAAGCAATTGGTGGACAATTTCGAAACCATGATCTTTATGCGTTGATTTCTCTCAACAAGCCGGGTTCAAGGCTACTAAATTGTGTATTTGTTCGCTAATTGCTGGTTTCAATATACACAGCTGCATGTGGTCATGCAGTGATAGACTGCAATGATGTGGTCAATTCACTGAAATTTTCGGATGAAGTAGCTAATTTACAAGAGACTATGTTTCAGTGGAGGAGAAAATTGCAAAAGGAATGTCAAGGAGAGGGTGCACGTGCGCAACAGAGGGGAAATGCGATTGCAAGGTATAACGGAAGACTGAACCTTAGAAAACTGTCGTTCAGAGCATTCCTTTGCGTCCATGTTTTTTTGTCACCCGCACTTCCACAATAATAGATATTATTCAATTACACTCTTGGCAATCCGTCTCTTTGGTGCAGTGTGCTGCAAAAGAGATGTCCTCAACCTTTCCAGACGTGCCTGTGGTGAAGGTCACTCTCATGCACCGTACGTCCTTCGGAGACGCACTTATTCTTATTCTTGCACTCTGTTTCCACTCTGTCTTCGAAGGCATTGCCATCGGCGTTGCAGGTGAGTTACATAACTCTTCAACCATCCGTGAGCACTATTTTAGAAACATGTTTTGTCCCCGTAGTTGCCTGACGGGAGATAGTTGAATTGGCAATCTCGCGTAATGGTCTGTGCAGAGACGAAACAGGATGCATGGAAAGTCCTATGGACGATCTCACTTCACAAGGTCTTTGCTGCCTTAGCCATGGGAGTGGCACTTTTGCGCATGCTACCGAATCGACCACTTGTCTCCTGTTTCTCGTATGCTCTAGTCTTCGCCATCTCAACTCCAATTGGCGTGGCCATTGGTATCATCATCGATGCTACGACGCAAGGCGTCACTGCCGACTGGGTTTATGCTATCTCCATGGGGATGGCTTCTGGGGTGTTCATCTACGTCGCAATCAACCATCTACTGGCGAAGGGAGATGTCTCACCTCCCAAAAATTGTTTGAATGAGCCATTTCATAAATTCACAGCCGTAACCTTGGGAGCGGCCACCATCGCCGTCGTCATGATCTGGGATAATTGAACTTTGAGATGTTTGATCCGTAGTTAATTGTCACATAGTTTGTTATAGAAGAGACCGTTGGCATGCAACAGAGGCGGATTAGAACTCCTTGCAGGAGCCACAGGAGAGAATGCGCCCCAACCTCTTTTAGAATATTCATATTGAGAACAAGATACTGTCACTGAGCACAGACTGCAGAGGCACTCTGCGGGACAGTATTAAAACTATGTCTCTTCAATCGTGACGAAAACGGCAACCTCTGAGACACACCAAGCTGTTTCGGACTTAATAAGCAGGACCCTGGTCAGTGATTCTCTCATCAACTGGGGAAATCGAAGTGATGATCGATCTCGCTACAAGTCAGGTCAATAAGCCAGCCATTTCGCTTTGAGCGAATTTCACACGGTTGATTTTTTGCACCTAACACGGTATTAGGTTCACGAAATTCCGGAGTCGAGATTTGTTCATCAAGAATTGACTGGCACCATACGCAACACCACATAGCACACTTAGCAGTGCAAAGAATTTTAAAATTCAAATAACTGCTCAATGCCAACGATAAAAATCTGCTGGATTTACGAGTTGCAGATTAGTGGACGCCGCCATTCTGCAGCTAGAAAGTCATAGCCTCAGACTTGGTGAAATTTCTATGCATAAAGTGCTATGACATTTCCACTAACGCTTAAACCATTCGTGATTGCTTGCAAGAATGACTGGACCTAAGATTTGAAGCACGCGTGACCTTCATCGCTCTCCTCTTTGTTCAGGGGTGAGGCCGACAGTGTCACAATTAGGGCGCTAGTCGAGCCCTAAACCCTGACAATCATAGCTCTTCTTGTTCCCCTTCTTGTTCTTCCCTGTACGCTTACAACGCTGACTTTCTGCGGTCCCTCTCCCCTTGCACTAGCCGCATCCCATTTCCGTCGCCATGGCCTTCCCCAACCTCCGCCAATTACAAAAAATGTCTTCACGCTCACCTGCAGCGTCTGGCGTCCTTCACTGAGTACTCTCTGCCGAGATCCACCTGATTGTACCCTTTCAAGTCATGTCTTACACGCAGGAAATGAGTCATCCCGCAAGAAATAGAACAAACAATCCTCTCTGTCCCCCAACTCATTAAATCTCCTGCCAGAAAGAGTACGCCTTGTTCGGTACATTTCGTCTTCAAATCCATGCTAAAACTTTTCTCAGTGCTGTGCAGATACTGATTCCTGCAGATGAAGACCTGAGCACAAGCTTTGTTCCAACCACACGCTGCGCTTGTATGCAGCTCTCCAACAATCAAATAAACCAATTCTAACCCAGTACATCTAATACTACTGCAAAACCCAACTTCCCGTTTGAATGCAATGCTGACAAGTTGCATTTGAATTTCCTTAAGTCACCTCGTTGGGTGTTAAAAGGAGGACACGATTCGAAACTGTGAAAATTTAGTGAAGAGGCTTGTGTAATTAACATTGTGGTTCCAAAACTGCATTAAGGAGACAGGGTTTCAAATCACAATTGGAGATTCGCACCAATCGACGGGCAGGCTCTGTCCAGGAGAGTAGCGCTAACTATCTGCGACACATCAAAGACATCCATAAAGTATCAGAATGAATTCGTATTTGTGCCCAAAAGAGAAGGCGATTGGTACGAAGAAGAGGCTGGCAGAGAAAACAAGAGGTGAAGTTGGCGTGAAAATGATATTCCTCTTCTAGAGAGGATCAGGTCTAGATTCGGCTTGCAACAGGGAGGTGTGATCCGCAGGGGCACGGTTGTGAAGGAGGGAAAGGGCGTTGATGTGGGTGGGGCTTCCAATTCTATAAGCTGTATTGAGCATTGCAAAACTTGAACGCCAAATCTGGCAGCATGGCGACGCCCGAATTAAAGCATGATCGCGCTCGTTCACTTAATGGTGAACGACTAGCTGTCTCGACCCAAGGCGCCGCGGTGCTGCAGCGGAGGACCAGATCCCCATTCACCCCCTAATCGAGTTTACATCCTCAACTAGGTGGATAATGCAAACCATGAGGTTGAAGTGCAGATGGCACAGGATGGGCGGGCCAAATCGCATGGCACTTCGTTTTTGCGTCTATCGTGTGGATGCAGAAACTGCACGATAATGGGGAGAAATTGCTGGAATTTCAAGCGGCCAAGATAGGAGGAAGGAAAAGGAGGTCGACATGAAGGTTCCCGAAAGGAGGTCATTTCGTCGCTTTGGAACTCCTCATCCGGACCTATTACCGTGCTTCTAGAATCCAAGCTCGTGTCTGCTCGTGTCGCCTCAGAACTCTGACTATACGTTGTTAAACCAATGTAGTTGAATTGGGTCGCAGCGATAGATAGATTCAGCAGGATTAAGCACCTTGACATGATTTAGAATCTGCACGTGTTGTCTGAAGTGGCGATGGCAATGGTGCAGTGGAGCGCTCCTGCGACGGGGAGGGGCAATGGTGTTGCTGCTGTGGCGTCGACGTCGGAGATTGTAGGAAGGAATTCCGCGACGAGCTGGAGGAGGGCTGGAAAGAGAGGGTTGGAATCGAAGGCTAGGGTTATTGTGGTGGGCAGAGCTAGCAGACTGGTGCAGGCTGCCAAGAGGGGAGGGAGTGGGAATTTGGTGAACAGGACTCGGTTGTGCGAGGAAGAGCGGCGTGGGTTTTTGGGTGGAGGTGGACAAAGAGGCGGGTGGTTTGCAGGGGAGATCCAGCAATGGAGTGCGCTTAGATTAGAGAGCCAGGGTGGTTCTATGGGCAAGACATCGAGGGGGAGGGGGAGGGGGAGGGGGAAGTTGTGCGTGCGCATGGCTGCTGATTATTACTCTGTTTTGGGAGTACCCAAGGGTGCCACCAAGCAGGAAATCAAGAGTGCTTATCGTAAACTTGCGCGCAAGGTAAGCTGTAATGGCGTGAATTTTTTATTGGACATGAAATTGTAATTATTCTCCTTGCAATGGATGCTTCTGCTCCGCGTCTTCCGGAGAAATCTCTGCCCTAGGACGTATATGATTTGCAGTAGCGGTATTTTAAGCTTAAATGGATTTCCTGTGCTTCATATTTGTGCGTTGTGTCCTGTAATTCAGAGGCACCTTAGGACTTTATTTTCTTGGGCTATTTGCTCTTCTGAGAACCTTGGTCTGCAGTATTTAGATACAACGCATATTTGATTCCTCAGTAACGAGAATTCAGGATCCCATGAGTATTCAATTTATGTTGAGAGTCACTAATTCTCGAGAATAAGATTCTGTGTCCTGCTGTCTTTATACAGTCAGTGTATCTGACTCAATGTGGGCGTGAATCGAGTTAAAAAGCTGCTCGATGGTTGTAAGTTAGAGAGGAAGGAAACTTGCATTGGTAGTCGGCCCATCACACTGTAGAATGCAGAGAAAGCTTTAGGTGGCACCGATATTTCACCAAATAAGTAGAGGTGAATGGTGCTCTGCTACCAGGTTTAGACACTACAATGATCAACAGATGCTTTAGGTGATTTAGAGCATCTTTCCAATTGGTTAGATCAGCTCCCATTGTAGGGCATGAATAGTTTGGTCCAGCATAACATTTCTCTGCAATTCAGTGCCAATTATGTCGCTCGCCTGGTTTAACTTGTGGCATCCGTTATATCCCTCTATCGTCTTCTACATTAGGGTATTCAATTGTACTCTTGGACTGCACTTCTAGTCACATTTTTGCCTAGTCTGCTAAGTTATTTTCTAGTTAAATCATCCATTTGATTCCATTCCGGAAACTAGTTCTTGCTACTTGATGAGCAGTGGAAATGATGATTTAATTGTGTCGTTGATTTTCGCAGTACCATCCTGACGTTAACAAACAGCCAGGGGCTGAAGACAAGTTTAAGGAAATCAGTAGTGCTTATGAGGTAGTGCTTGAACACCCTTTCCCTTTTCAGTATTCATACTAGAGGAACCGTGACATTTTAGAGAGTCTATTGATTGTTGATTGTGAAATTGATCATTACTTTAAATTATTTTTGGAAAACAGTGAAGTAATTCCTGATTGTAGCTTCAAATTTTTATTACGTAGTGAATTCGTATGCATATCTTAGAACAAATGTTGATAGTTGAAACTAGCGAGCCTTTTTGAATATGTAGATACTCTCAGACGACCAAAAGAGATCAATGTATGACCAATTCGGGGAGGCTGGTGTGAAGAGCGGGGCAGCCGGCGGAGCGGGTGCTTATGGAGCGGTATGGGCCAAGTTCATCCTTACAATATTTTTCTTTGTTCTCCTTTGGATTATGAATCCATAGCTGATAGAATTTGTATGAGGATTGTCCAATGTGATTCATGGCAGTTGAATGATTCTATATATGCTTTTCGTGGGAAAGTGTGCAAGCACCTTGCCGTGATCCAACTCAAGTGCTTAAACTGGATTTGGCCTAGCACTGTATTTGTGCAGAACTTCAATAGAACAATCTCTGCAATTTGTTTTTAGCATTTGATACAGCTGTTGGTAATTTCTTCCTGTATTGTTATCATTTACCCAGGCTTTTATATGCAACATGTAGTAGAAGACGTATGAGTGCAATCTTTCTTTTAAGTCTCAAGGAGGACTGAAACTAATTGTCGTGGGAAGTGCTACTCAATTGTGCAGTGTAATTGTGAAACTAATTCGTCGTGTAATCCTGGTAAAGGATCATTAGTATGGACGTTCTAAAATGCCGTAATATGTTGCAGACGAACCCATTTGATCTCTTTGAGTCATTCTTTGGGAGTAGCATGGGCGGAATGGGCGGAATGGGCGGCATGGGCGGCATGGGCGGCATGGGCGGTACCAGGAGACCCACAGTTGTTCAAGGTGACGATGTTAGGTTTGTCTCTCTAAATCTTTCTCATTCACCAGTTGGATCAGTCTGATCTAAAGCTGGGACATCAAAGAGTATGTTTTAGTGAGACTTGGAAAAATTCCTAAATTTGACATGCAACAATGAATTTTGAACGAGTTTCTGTAAGTTTCATACAGAGCTGCAGATCAATACTAACAGAAACTGATGATGTCTCTGAAGGGGACTGGTGTAGAAGTTCTAGAGGTTATGCCATGTATGATACTAGACTTGTTTCACAGTGTACTCTTCTTGTACTAATGCTTGAAGAGTTTCTGTACGTACGAATCACATTTAACAGAGTGTGTATTGGTCTACCATCTGTGCCATCAGGTATGACATGGCCTTGGAGTTTACAGATGCCATCTTTGGTACAGAGAAAGAGTTTGAGGCTGCTCACTTGGAGACATGCACAGCTTGCACTGGAAGTGGCGCTAGAGCAGGCACCAGTCGAAAGACCTGTCCTACATGTGGTGGCATGGGTCAAGTGATGCGCACCCAGGATACACCATTTGGTACTTTCTCTCAGGTATTTAAAGTTCTCCTCTAAAATAATTTGCCGATACACCTCTTGTTAATTTGGTTTTGTTCACATGATCACCATGCCGCAGGTTCTTATTCTAATTGCAACTGAATTATCCTTAATGCATTGACCATGCTCTTAATAGCCTATAGTTTGCCAATGTTTCTGGTGTAAGGGTTTCGTAATCACTAAGAGAACTTCCACTGCCATTCGCGTGTTTGATGAGGATTCAAAATCCTGTACATAATTTGTTGGAATGCCTGGATAATTAGTAGAGCATTATAGCTCATGGATTTTAGCGTCTACTGATGAGAGTAGTTTATAGTTAGTTTTGTGTGAAGTTATAGAATCTGCAGGGTATCTTAACAGTGCTCGTCCGTATTTCAGGTTTCTACTTGCACTACCTGTGGAGGGGAAGGCGAGGTTATTAGTGATTACTGTCGCAAATGTGGAGGCGAAGGTCGAATAAGAGTGAAAAAGAATATCAAAGTGAAGATCCCTGCTGGCGTAAACAATGGCAGTACACTTCGTGTTCGTGGAGAAGGGGATGTCGGGCCTAGAGGGTATGCCTATTTATGTATATAGACTAGAAGTTGCCGAGGGGGTGACTTAGGTGTAGCATGCGTGGTCATTCATATGGTACTGATGGAGTATATAATAATAATACTAATACTACTAATCATTTGTACTTTATTGGTCATGCCGAGGAACTGATTTGAAAAGCACGTCTTACAGAGGCCCACCAGGAGACCTATATGTCTTTTTGAATGTGAAGGAGTTGGCTGGCGTTCAAAGAGACGGCATAAACCTGTATTCTACGGTACCTATTAGTTTCACAGACGCAATTCTGGGTACCGTAACACAGGTACGTAACTCGATAAATCGATTATACATGGTATACCTTGGAAGTTACATATGGTATCGACCAACCGCTCTTTTGTGAATTCCCAAATTTTAAGAGATCAAATTAGTTAGTAATGTGCTACTGTAAGTATTGGTCATATTAAAGTGCTAACTTCTTCATCAGATAAAAACTAAGTTCCTCACGCCCTATTATTAACGATTGGAGAAGTGCATGTCTGTGTTGGAGGGTTTTCCTTAATATCTCATGTCGTGGCACCTGTCAGGTTAAGACCGTTGAAGGTGTTAAAGACCTTCAAATTCCAAGTGGAACGCAACCTGGAGATGTACTAGTGATGTCCAAGCTAGGTGCTCCTAAACTAAACAAGCCGAATGTGAGAGGGGATCACTACTTCACTGTGAAGATCACTATTCCAACACGGTTGAGGTGTGTTTGAGAGTTAGGATGCTTGATCTCGTTGGTGAATTCTGATTAGTTCGAAGATTTTTTAAATTTAATTTCTGGCTTTTTGGTTTTTTGTACTATCATGACATCAAATCCTGAAATTTCATATGGCAGTGGGATCGAGCGACAGCTGGTGGAGGATCTAGCGAGATTGCAGAAGTCTAAGGGACGTGGAGGATCAGTGAAAATGGGATCTAGCAATGGCAGCAGGCCACAACGTAAGAAATTCCTCACGAAAGTCTTTGTTTGAACTCACATTACAGTCACCCTGGGTAGCCTCATCATTTTAATAGCCCAGTACGAGAACGATCATTACTTTGTCAGATTGATGCTACACGAATATTGATGCTGTCATGCACCTTACTTGTTTATAATTTTTTTCTCCTTTATTATATTTTCCCCCAAACATGGTAGAAAACTTGCTCATGACGTGTGAATAAGCACTACTCAGTTGAAGGACAGTTTCCCTTTTGAATTACTGGCTGTTATGGGAGTAATTTGTCAGAGATTCTGTACGAATGTTTGAGAGACCACTCTGTCAGAAATCTCACTTTTTGTTCATTGTAGCAGGGAGTCAAGACGGCAGGACAGCAGTTTTAGAGAAGGAGAAAATTGAAGTTGACGAATCGGAGGAAGCAGAAGGGGTTATTGAAACAATCAAGAATGCTGTGGGGTAAATTATGTTCAAAATCCCTACTGAACAGACTGAATTCACATGAATTTTTATTAGTTCTCTTAGATAATTGTACTCCGTCGATTATTTTTCTCAGACCTTCCTCACATTTGTGGTTTTCTATTCTGATATTTGTCATCCAGTAGCTTGAAGAAGAGTGCGATTTCTCCTGGTACTTGAATTGAACTTCCACCATAGAATTGGCTTGCCGAAACTGAGTATTATGTGGCAAATTGAATGAGGACACTGATTTTCATGTGTGATGTGGTTTGAATTGTTCGAAACGCAGATCTGCCGCATCAGGTGCTATCAATTGGCTGAAGGACAGGCTTGGCTAATTTCGCCGGAATCGGTATTTCGTATGTTGTAAATGCGCTTCTATCGGCAGATTTAACATTTGCTGCAAAGAGAAACGCACCAAAATTTACATGTTTCTTTTTAATTCAGCTAGTCAGAATTTAGTGAGTATCCAAGTACAATTAGGATTTTTTGTGATTTAGTTGTGCTTGGCATGAACAATTGAGATGTTCAATTAGTAAATTCCGCATTTGTGTAATTGTATCGATAACTAGATAATGTATCACGACATTGAAAGCATCGGATACATGGTCTTCAATTTTTGTTTCGATGGTTTTTATGAAAAGTAAAACGTGCAATAAATATTTGCTTCAATTTTTATTATATGTCAATAAATATTATTGAGAATGTAGTTGGTGGAAAATTTATGAATATCTCTAATTATTTGTATCAAATATGTTGGAGTATGAATAATTCAAATTATATTAAATCATTTTACAAAACTAATTCAAAAGATAAGTTAGCTGATCCATTGTCAATCACCCCCCATTTCCAATATATAGGGTGTCCTATTTCGGCTAGGTAGGTGACCTGTTGTCCACTAGATTTGACATTTCGTGGTTGACAATAGGCTGGGGGCCTAGTAGAAATGGGTTAAACTTTGATCTAAATAGGTTTTTGGCCACTAGCAAAAAATAGTTTCTTTGATAGTTACATTTGATCCTTTTTGTTACGATCATTGTGCCATCAGTGAAGTTTTGGACATATTGTTGTGATTGAGAGTTTTGTCATTTTTTGTCTCGTGACTCGTTTTTGTAGGCACACGACCTGGCTGCCAACAATGATACCATACTTCTTGTTGTGATAGCTGCTTCATCATGTCGGGATGTGGCTGTGAATCGTGATTTAAAACTGGCTCAAGACTTAGACTCGGATGGTGAGTTGAAAGTGGGGTCTTAGTCTGTATTGTTGTGCAAGGTTTGTGATTCTTTTTTTAAGTAAAAATTTAAGGTTTAACACTGGAAGGGAGTGCGGTTTGCCAGGGGTACCTGTAATTGTTCTCACCAGGATTAACCTTCGTGCAGGTTGGCGGACCGTTGGTGTGATCAAAGTTGACCAAGCAGTTTCCGACCCGAGGAGCTTGGTTGCTGCAAATGCTTTTATTTCCATTAGAGGCCACATTATTTTGGAGGGCGAATTTAGCACTGTCACGGAAGCCCACATTGACAAAACCGAATGCCTTTTCATCAGGAAGAGCAGATGCTTGCACCAAGTCACCTGGCTTTGGTTGAGGTACACAAGAGAATACTGTGGGTGCATTTTTTTATTTTAAAAGATTGCAATAAACGCATGAATGCTCGCTAGGTAGAATACAGCGGAAGGAGGGAGGGAGAGTGCGATGCGATGTGAGGGGGGTGATGAACAATGTGCTCAGAATTCGTCGCCGCAACTCAGTTAACCATGTCACTGAAATGGAAATTAATACTAAAAATCTATAACAAAAATAATGATGGTTTGTAAACAGGAATGTTGGAAATATTGCAACGGTATTTCGGCATCGATATGCTTACAACCTATAATTTTAGAGGGAATTAGTAATTCACAGACAAGGCGCAGGACTATGGGGGCACGCATTACATTTTATTTGAATGTTAAGTTTGACACTCGGTGTGTCAAGTGTAGACAACCCCCTGATTGGTACCTGGGCACCTTAAACAGAAAGTTTACACATTCAGTCCAAAGCATCAATCTTTGACAAAATCTGCACTTTGTTCATGTTAAAAATTCCTCAACAATTTGAGTGTGAAAATATAGAAGTTCCCCCCATTGAAAACATCCAAAGTTAGAAATTTCGCCGAATGTAAAGCATTTTGAACTATTCCACTCGATTATAAACATTGTCTATGAAGTTTTGATTCATGTACAAAACGCCCATGAATTTCATTTCTTTATTTAACGTTTTTTCTTTCACAAAATTGCTCAAATCGATTGGAAGACTTTCAATGTGTGTGTGTGTGCTGCGCTTCTGCTTAATGTGAATCAACTTGGATTGGTGCTTCTTGCCATGTTAAGCTCAAAGTGGGATTCAAACAAAAACTAAAAAACTTTGAGCATATTCTCTGGGTTACCAAATTGTTATATTGATTTGAATGAATTTTTTTTGAACAATTGTTAAAGACAGTTCTTCAGTTTTATTTTTTATTTTTTATTTTCAAATTTATTATAACTGTTATAATATAATTTGATTTAAATATAATTTGTTGATAATGTTGATATTCAATGTGAGTATTAAACTTTTTGAATATTTTTAAGAATATTATTTCATTTTTTTTATTAATTTAATTCTTAATTCTAATTTAAATAATGATATGAATCAATTTTTTTGGACAATTGTTAAAGACATTACTTCACTTTTATTTTATATTTTTTTCTCTTTTATTATTGATGTTAAGTTTAAATATACTTTTTATGGTTATGTGAATGTTCAATTTGAATTTTAAATTTTCGAATATTTTTAAGAATATTTTAATTTTTTATTAATTTTATTTTTAATTAAAATTTAAATACTTATTTGAATGAATTTTTTTAGACTGCTGTTAAAAACATTAATGCAGTTATTATTATTATTATTATTATTATTACTTATTAGTAATTTAAAGTTTAAATTAGATTTTAATGATAAATTTTTAGAATGAACAATATCATTTTATTTTATTTATTTTAGTTTAGTTTTTTAATCCATAGTTAATTGATATTAGTAATTGACTTTTTTAATGTATAATTATTTTACTTATTCAATGAATAATTTTTTTTATTTTTAGATGATCCTAATCCAAACTATATAGTTTTCACAAGTTGAAATCAACAATATGGCTTGAGCAAGTAATGAATTGCCAAGTCAAAGTGAACCATTAGAACTTAACTCCAATACTTGCACATATGATCAATATAATAGTGTAAGTAAGCCAAACTCTCCTATTAGAACTCAAGTTGATAATTATAAAGGTCTTGAAATTTTACATTCACAAGCTAGAAGAGTCTTAAGGGGTAGTGAAGTTGGCAGAAGAGGCTAAAGCAATGTAATTAGAGGGAGACAAAGAAGAGGCTATTAAGGCAAAGAGACAACCAACTCAAGTGGAGTTGTAAATAGGACAAGGATAAAGATGGAGAACATAGAATTGTTCTTCAACAACCTTGATGTAGAGGATATCACATGCATTTGAAAAACTTTGCAACATGTCAATAATCAATATTTGCAATCATCGTCATCAAGACAATAGATGAGCAATATTGTCAATATAAGAAAAAATTCTTTATGGAGTGATTAGCAAATGAAAGTAACATTAGTAGACTATAAAGAGTATGGAAGCATCATAAAAGTAATAATAAACCATATATTTCATATATAACTTTCAAGGAGTGGTGTTATGAAATGCAATCTCTTAAAAAAAGGAGAGTTAAAGAAGTTCTAACTATAAAAGAAGAAAACAAGCTTGTAAAGTAAATTTTAGCTATATATAACATGGACCTAGATTTCTTACCTATAGTTTTAAAAATAAAGGTTTTTGAAATAAATAGGACTCAAAGCACTCCATTCAAGAATAAAATTCCTAGTAACAAGTAGTTAAAGTGGTTTAAAAAATGTCATCCAAAGTTCATGGTGAATGTAGCACAAGCTCTTGCATCTTCTAGAAGAAAAGCACTTTGCAAAGAAAATCTGCAAAGCTTCTATAGTAATTTAAGTGGGTTGTATATATTGCATGGATATCCTCTAGAAAGGATGTGGAATTGTAATGAATTTAGTGTCTAAACAAGGAGAAATGATGGTGCATTTATCATAGCTTGAAGATGTGCTTATCGGGTACATTTTATTATATAAGATTAAAAAGTATGACTATAAATATTGATCTATATCAATATAGTAAAGGTTGGCATATTGTCTTTATATATTTTTAGAAATAAATATTTTAAATAAAATTATATAGAGCATTATGAACCAAATACAACCATGGCAATGCAATTCAAAGCTTAGATGATAAGTTATTTGTTTTCTGCATAGGCATACAAGCCATGTTACTATTGAAGAAGCAAGACTAGTACATAACGAAGGACTAGACATTCTAATCCTATTATTTCACACATTGCATGTGTGAAATAGATACATATGTATTCAAATACATACCATGCAACCTCTAGATACATATGTATTCAGATCCTTCAAGTCATATTTCAAAAAATATCAAAATTATTTAGTTTTTAGAAATTTCAAAAAGCTTGTTTAAAAACAAACTCTTAGACATTAGATGTATCTAAGCTTGAAATGTGCTTTGATAATAAATAACATCATTAAAGATTTTACTTCTACTGGTATACTTTTGCTTGACAAAATGATAATAGACAATCATATGGATCTAAGCCAAACTTATATGCAATCTATAAAAGAAGTTGTATAAGGTAAAAATGATGTAATTGAGAATTTTGCAGAGAATAAAGCCAATAGTATGGAATTAGTTGGTGTAGAATAGATATTAGTTTGTTTTTATAAGATATTGATAAAATAGACTAATAGTCCATAGAATAGTCAGTTCAGGAGGACAGATGGTTAACTTAATTATTAAAAGTGGTTAATTACAAGATTACGGTTAGAATCTGGAAATAGGGAGTAAGTATATAGGAGTTGTAGAAGTTAGTTTGAGTGCCAGACTGTGATAGTCATGAACCGGGGTTAAGCTTGGTGCTACCTCTTTGTCTCTTTGTTTTTCTTTATTGTTGAAGAGTAATAGATAGTTTTTGAATACTGAGAAGTGAGTCTGTGGAATAAATCAGGGATTGATTTATGAGTTATCAATTATGTAATTGGAGTACTGAGTGATTAAATTATATGAAGAGTTATTGGAAGATTATGATTGTTGTTTATTGAGAGTTTTGTGTATTTTGGACAAAGGAAGTTGGTAATTAAAAAAATTATGTGAATTGAGATTGATTGAAGTAAAGTTTGTTATTTCTTGTGTTGGATGGAAATTATGTATTTTGAGTGGTTTTTTGTGAGTGCAGGGTTGGACACTGTTGTTATCAATTGATGAAGGAGTATTATTATTGGGAGAAAGCATTATAATATTTCTTGGTGTTTTAGTGGTTCGGAATACGGTTAATTGTGTGACCCTAACAAATAAAACTCATGCACTTAGTCTTTCCCTGTGTTCGAATTCTCCTACACAAGTTTATTCTGAAAGGAATTGTAGAATAAGTAAAACGATAATCTTAATTGGTGAAGTCTTATATACCTTCTTCATTCACGACATTGCAAGGGACTTGGAATTGGCTATGAATTTCATCACTAAATAATTTTTTATTTATTAATGTGGAAGTGTCAAATTTGGAGT